AAGTTGCCGCTAAGTATAACCCAAATATTTTAGCTTAAAAACCTGTAATTACATGCTCCACTTGGCTGTCATAATATACCAATTATACCAATTCTTTATTGAAAACAATGAATGAATCTTTGCCCCTAAAGCTTGAGAGAAATGAAAAAGTAATTACACTTCGTATATTAGATACTAGAAAACAGTAAACATTAATTTAGCTTCATTGAATACAAGTACATCCAAACCAACTGCCACAAATCTGTGAATTCCTATTATTGCTTTTCCTAGGATTTGTTTATTAAACTGGCACATTTCTTTACGGTAGTTTATTTCCATCCCCTATTGTTTCCTTGTCGATCAAAATAAATGTTTTCAAATCCCTGTTCTGTAATCAAATTAAGAGAGGGACATGCTTATAGCATGTGTCTATTCAAAAGTGAATAAAGGCAGTCGCATTATCAATTACGTCAAACGTGCGTATAAATTCAATTACAGCCGGACTGGATTTAAGGTATTATAGTATAGTATATGATTCGATTATTGTAGTATTGCATTTTATATTTGAGAATCTTCCCCAGTTAAACCTACCATGATTAAATTTGACTCGTCTGTGACTTAAATTCTCCACAAATCCCCACCGATTTGATTCAATTTGCACATTTTAATAATGCAAATCGACCGATTTCCCCTTCAATAGTTCTGCACAATTTTGATTTGGTATTAATGTGTGTGCGCAGCAACCAACTACATGCTATCTATGTATTGCATAATTTGTGGCACAATTTAATTGCTTCTGCCTACATGTACACGTACATATCGTATGTACTAATATATTATGCTAACAATTTTGTATTCCTGCATTGTGCAAATACATATTGTGGTTGCACTGCTATGTTTCTATTTGTACGCTAATTTACACATCTATTTTCATTTAATTATCTTTTCAATAGCGCATGGTATATTTTGTTTTGCTTCTGTTTTTGTTTTTTGTCAACGCTGAAGGGGTTTTTTGTTTGCCGCTAAACAAACGAATGCTTGTGTACTCACAACAGTTTGATTTGCTAAATTAAATAATTCAATAAATAGGTCACTTGCTTAAGCCATTAAATGAGTTAAATTGTTGACGTTCAGTTTGCCTAACGAGCTGCAATCGCAGCTTTCTATGACAAAAATATTAACTAATTTACTAATTTAGTCTAATATAGTTAGTATTACATTACAGTGTGAGTAATAAAATCTAGATTGGTATGCCTGTTTGTGTATAGATGTTTGTGGAATTCAGAGTGGAGTGCAGATTGGAGCTGGTGTTTAGGGGGTTAGGTATGTGATCAAAGAAACGTTTACTTATTGCAAGAAAAGGTAGATAAAGATAGCTCATCGGGAACTATTGTGTTAAAGTGAGGGTTGGTCACTTCCCATACATCGGGCGTATAAGTTATGTGAAGTGTTTCTTTTTAATGATCTCGTATACACACTACAGTATGTTTTTATAATTTATAATATGGCTGCTAAAATATTTTGTTACATTTGCTTATATTTGTGGAACAATAAACAACCGATTGACCTATTCTATAGCTATTTATAAAGCTGTTGTTGCTAACTGAATTTCCACTAACAGTGTCCCAACAACTGGTTCGTGCATCGGCTAAGCAAAAGCTTTGCTTATGTGGACTTTATGTTACTGCCAATGTTAACAACAAAAATGTGATGAGCAATTATCTTGAAATTGTTAGTTAATAAGATATAGTATATCTTGACGTCACTAGCAACAAGTTTCTCTCCTCATTCTCCAGTATAGGCGGCCACGCATCCCTCCATACTCGCGCCGAATCGAATCACGGCCTTATTCGAGTTGTTTAATGAGGCGCAATAATTTGCATACCAAAATCAATGGAAACCAAATGGAATTAAAGTGTTGTTCTTGTTTCATTTGCTTGACAAAACATTTAAGTCTATTTGCATTTGCTTAATTACTAAGCTGCTTGCAGCCGCAACAAGAACAGAATCAACAACCCTGCACAACCTACTAATAGCAATCATTATTGGAATCGATTTCCTGTCAACATCATTGTCGCCATTTACACTTTCTGCTATGGAAATTAAATGATTGCGCCTCGCATTAACTAAGCAAAGCACTGTTCCTTACTTAACAGTCATTAATCATATGATAATTGTTACATTAGTGTAGGTCAGAGCAATCAAATGCGGGGCGTTTTCTAGTGATAAGGCAATAGAGTTAAGATTTCAAATCACTTTTAAAGTGACAGGCATTTGAGCATGAGTTGATAAGTGGTTTTGGGTTTAAAGAATGCAATTATTTTAAATTGCCCCAACCTTCTTAGCCAAGCAGGTTAACTCTTTGAGCAACTCCTAATAACTCAAATAACTTGAGCTTGTTGCATTCAAATATGAAACTTAATGCTGGTTGAAGTGAAACGCGTGCCCCATACGCAAACAGCCGACTAGTTAGCAGAATACTATATGTCAGACTACACACAAAACTGACTCGATTCGACCTTCAGCAAGATTTATAGTATAGCGTGCGAAAGCGGCAAAGCAGTCGCACTTTAGCCATGGCTAGCATGTCGCCAATTCGATTAAGTGAAAGGCGTCAACAGCCAAAATCCAAGTGCTTTACGAAATAGCCACAAGCGCCATGAGTGCATGTTTGGTTTTTGGTTGTCGGTTTTCGGTTTTCGGTTTTGGTTGTTGGCCTCAAACACATAAGCGGCTTATGCAAAAGACCGAACACTGTTTGTATGCAAAACAAAGCACGGCCATAACAAGAACACACAGGGAGTGATAAGGGGAGCCGATTCAATATAGTATATGCATACTTGTATAAGCAGTACATAGTAAGTATTAGAATCGTTTGTGCTTATCTGTCTGTATCATTTGGCAGATATGTACCACAAAATGCACAACAACCGTGATGAGAACAACAACCAGCAGAAGCCGATGATGTTAAACCAGTTTCGCGAACTGACGCATCAGCAAACAATTGGGGAAATACCTAGGAGTAGACGAGACAAAAGCCACTCACAGCTGAAGTCAAAGACGTCAGAGTTTGGATTGTTGTCTGTGTTTTGCACGAAATTAAATTGAATTTATGTTTTAAGCGGCTGGGATTCCTTTCATGCATCTCGTTGGGACTCTCGTTTCTTGTTTGTGCAACAAACTTGTGTAATTACCAACATCTACCCAACAATCTGTGCAGCAACGATTCAATTGAAGAAATACAAGTACATATATTCACAACACCTAAATGGCATTCCGGATATTCCGTTTAGAATTTAATTACAGGTTTTATCGATTCTATATGTATTTATCTCTCAAATATTCGCCGTATTTGGTTTAATTTATAGTTAAGCAAGTGAAACGTTGTGAGATGTTTTACTTGAATTTGTAGTATGGATTGAAGATATTTGTTGCATTTCTATTTCACTGATTTATGCCATACAGAACAGTGGTGGGTTAGTATTAACCTTAAAGAAAGGGTCTTAAAGAGAACTTAAATGCTACAATTTAACTTAATGTACGCAATTTTTGTTCAAGTCTAAATGTTTTTATGTGCATTTATAAATTGTTTTGGAAATTTATAAATGTGTTTCTGATCACAAATCTTCATTTATTCATTTCTTTATAAACGCAACAAAATTATGCGGTCAAATACAAATGTATATGAAAGAACGCAAACTATAAAATGGTATATTCATGGATGATTTTTGAACTCACATAGGTTTATTAAATTGCGAAACTATAACTATATAATTTAACTGTTGCTTTAGAGCAGACTATGTACTTGGTATTAGAAGAGTTGACAGCTAACTCGCTTGAATCTTGGCATCGAGTAGGCATATATAGTAGATGAGCTACTTTTGGGAATATTCTGGCAATAACAATTTAACGACTTATTCCATTTATTATTGACTGAAGAGGAGCAAAATCTAAAATGGCGTTTGCTTAGCCGGTTTATCAACTCAAATATAATTTAATTTAATCCAAGCCACAAAAAAACAGATACATACACTGCGCAGATATGTGCGCAGTCTAAATTGTAATTCTCAATTAATTCAGAAGAATCAAGAAATTCGAAAATCAGAGTTGGGAAGAGTGGCTGCAAGCTTTTAGCATGCTAGTGGTACACATTAGCTGAGATTTTGTACTGTACTTGTAGAATTTGTGCTCTGATGAACTTAACAAATGCTCATTATTTATACTTTACACTTCCACGTATAGGGGGTCTTTGACTTTTCAAGAGCGACGGACCTTACAGAGCTCCACCGAACCAGTTAGAATTCAAATTTATGTCGATCTCCACTGCGCTGAGCTTCCACCTCAACTGTGTTATCATCAATTAGTGACTCGTCTCGTCATGCGTCAGTGTGTGCCGAAAAACCACACGGCGTATGATTAATACGAAATCTGAAGTCTGACAACTGGCAGCTGAGATGCAACAACCTTCACGTGAGATGCGCTTCTGTTGACTCGGATCCCCACATATTGTTGCAGTGTTTGCTGTCAACCGCAATTTTGTGGTCGCTCGTCTGGCTGTTGAGTTGTCACGCTCAGCTGGCAGGTCTGGAAAATTTTAGTGGCAAGTGCTGTGCATAAGTATTTTGTTTAGCTTTTAAGGTCTTGGGACGGCGACGATCACCAAACACACCCACCACAAGTGTCCAATTTGCGACACTGAAAGGCGTCACGATTTGGTCTTTGGTGAGGGCCACTGGTATACGATTTAAATATAAATTGTATAAAAATGTCATTAAAAAGACTAATTCTGAAGCTGAACGCCCCTCTGCCGTTACAGCCATATGCAAATTAGTAGCTGCGCACGGCAAACCTGTCTCCAGACAGCGACGTTGACGACGGCATCAGCATCAGCAGCGGCAGCGTTGTTGTGATCGTTGTATTTATTTCCATTCCATTTCATATTTAGAAGTTTGCTGTTTCAGTTTTTGAATTAGTTTTAACAGCGCGCGTCGTCGACTTGGTTCTCCATACCTCGGTCTAGGTCTCGGTCTCTGTCTCGGTCTCTGTCTCGACTTCAGTCCCGATCTGCGACTTGACTCGCTTCCGCATTGCATTCGAAAGATAAGACGCGTGTACTCGTGTTTGTGCTGCCCAATTGAGTGCGAATTGTTGTAAACAAAGCAACAACAAGTGTTTGGAACAGGTAAATGCCTTGGCCTCGCTAGTGCAAGTGCAATTGCGTTCTAGAAAAAGTGAAATGCAAACATCATCATCAATCTGCACCCACAAGCATTCTGCAGTGTATTTAAGCGCCAAATACCGAGGTGTTTCTGTGAATATTTATTCATGAAAGTGCTGGCTCTTAATTGAATAACGTACAGCGCGTCATGAAAGGCAATCATCTTTATGGTTGAAGTTGATTGTGAAATCGAAAAACTGTTCCTAATTAATTAACAAACCAAGAACAGGAAATGGAGGAGCATAACGAGATAACTCATCTGTCCGTCTGAGACAGGACTTGTTCCAACTCCCCCTCTTATAGCTCCAACTCCTCTGAATTGTTGGCTTCTTTACTGCAGAAGTAGTAACGTCAATACTTGAATGTATTCAAGCATTTACCGTAATTTCTTTTCATATTTATAGCTCAAAAATAAATGAAAAAAGATATATAAAAATAATTGGTTCAATATTCGAGTTAAATTTGTTGTTCCTTTGCTGAGTATTTCAATTAAAAGTAAATACATGTGAGAATTCCGTTTTGGTTTTCTTTTACGAAGTACTTGTAGACAATAGTTGCCACAACTCCTATGAATTTTTGGCTTCCTTACTGGATAAGTAACGTCAATATTTGAATGTATTCAGGCATTAAACACAATTTCTTTTCATTTATTATTTAAAGCTCAAAAATAAATAAATACAAAAATGGGTGAAGTACATTTTGTTGTTCTTTTGCTGAAGTGTGTACAATGTCGGGCAAGCAGGACTACTTGTATTGCAGTCCATTTATGTTCTCGTATATGCTCGTGTATTGAGCGTATATTTTAATTAAAAAGTCGATGCTTCAGCTCTGCAATTCGCTGGGAATATGTAAATATGAGTGCTGAACAGTATGTGTGTGAGTTTCCTTCTGGTTTCCTTTTACGAAGTAAATCAATTAGTGGCGAGCTGCTCTTGATGGATTGAATGCATTATGGGACGCGATAATTCTGCCAACCCCTGCCACTGCAAGACAGCTGGCTGCTGCGGAAAGTTGGTCAAACATTTTCCAAAAATGAAGCCGCTGTTGCTGTCCTCTGTCTCTCGTCGCAAACTTTGGCACTGAATGTCAATGAAATACATACGTATACAAGAAACAAATAAGAACAATATGGAAGAAAATTTCGCAAATTAAGACGAGTGCTGGAAAAATGAAGACACCGGCTTGGCGCTGCTGGCTGCTTGTGTCTCCACCTTAGTTAGCGCAACTAAATTGTGTTTAAAAGTTGTTCAAAAGGGGATTTCCTTTTAAGTGGAACATAAAATGAATGCAATTCAAATTTGTTTGCCAACTTGTGTGAATGTTCCGTACAAAGTGGTCAGCAGAGAGCCTAACTTTCATCCGAAAAGGAACTTGAAATTCTGTGCAAATATAAAACCCTATGAAGAAATGATTAAAGACGTTTATTTCAAATCAAGTTGAAGTTATCAAAAAAGCATTGAAATATAAACAAAATTACAAATTTCAAATCCAAACTACTAAAAATAATATTGAAGAAAAAAATGTGAAAAAAATTTGAAATTATTATTATTTATGGATCGAAAATGAGAAAAATGGTAAATGCGAATTTATTGGTGCGGAGCCTCTAAAGCAGATCAATAATATGCATACACATATACAAACTCGGATGTGTTGTAACAAGTAAACACTCAAGTTTAAATTGAAAACACTTTGCCTTCACTTTAATAAAGAGCTTGAAGGACATAATTTGTGAAAGAGCGGCAATATTTTCACTGCACGTTGATTTTTACATCTGCAGAGAAAATGAAGAGAACACACAAGAAGTCTGTTGATTTCTTAAAAATTCAATTCAAGCGCGAAGCGTACAATACGAGTAGTAGACGCCATCATATGTGCCTAGTGCCTAGACTAGTAAACCACTACCAGGAGTTGCCCTTGGAGGCCGCTTCTAATGCGAGTTATATGGCTGTTTGTCCAGCGCATACGAAACTCATTAAAATGCGCCACGCAGAGCGAAAAACGGAAACCGGAAAGCGGAATACGCGAAACGCGAGTCAACGGGCCAAGAAAGTACCGTAAGGCACACCAGCACCAGTATACAAGTATATGTCGAAGTATATGTACATACATGTGTACTCACATCACCATGCCTGGCTAGTAAGCAAGTGCAAAATTTGTGTGGCCAAATGTGGCTGAAATTGTGTTGAGATTGGGGGCGTGGGGGTTTTAGGATGGGTGTCAGTAAACGCATATCCGATGGTGATGACATTGGACTGAGCCATTTTTTCATTACACCAACAGTCTCTTTGAACTGCAGGCACCATCCCCAACCCCATCTCACCCATCTCAACACCAAATATGATTCGCAACTGGGGTCGTTCGTGTCGTTTGCGTGCTTCATATTAAATAAGTTATGCTACTTCAGTGAGTGAGTGTGTGTGGGTGTGTGGGTGTGTAGGCTAATAGTGTTGTGCAAAAGATTTGTAAGGAAAAACGATCTTGAAAGTGTTTGTTTGAATATCTAATGCACTACAAGAAATGGACACTGATACATGAATATGCGAAAGCAAAAAATGGAAATATTTGTTCAATTTAATATCTTTGCAATCGATCTGGGGAAGTTGAATGGACATTCTGTCTTTTAAAATGTGTCTTTTAAAAGGGAGATCTGTGTAGCTTAAAGGAAAGGATTTACTTGTATATTATGTATATACGAAGAAAGCTTTCCAGCTTATAGTTGATTTTCTAACTTGAACGTGTTTGTGTGCAAACAATTTGTTTGTCGAACCGTCACCACGTCACTCCCCCACGACCTACGCAATACGTTAACTCCGAGTTCTCGATTATCTGTGCTGTCAACAAGAGGCTCTTATGATCATTTGTAAACTAGTTTCTAGCCAACACATATCTGATACATTTTTCTGCCATGCCCATATTAAAGTGTGCGCATGTGTGCGTGTGTCTGTCTGTCTGTCTGTCTGTTTGTCTGCATGGCAATCTCAGCAAGCGAGCAACGCTTTTCTCGTCGTTCTCATCGTGGCCACATTGCCTCATTTGGCATAAATTTCATTTGCAAATACGACGTCACATACGAGTACGCCATTTTGTGTTATACTAGTTTCCTGCAATTTACTTTATTTGAGCTCATTATAACGCTGCCAAGGCCAACACACTTACTACACAGTCAGACAGACTGAGAGATAGTGATTCAGACAAACTAAATACAATATATATTTATATAGCGTATGACATGCACGGCAGTTCAATGAAGGTGGATTTGCTGATAGATATAGATATATTCTTTTCCTTTTAAAGTTGAAACTGTTCAGTGTTTAAAGTACAAGAAATATATATATACATATATATATATAAAATGAATGATGTATTATTTATTGAAACTGTGCACTTAGCACAAGACTTTAAATACTCTGGCACAATCGATTCATACTGGACTCGTGAGATTCTCTTACATTTTAAAATCAGAAGTTCAACTCATATCGTTTCTTTATTTTCCTGAGTGTAGCTACATATGTATGTCTTTGGCTTTGGCTTTAAAGCTTGGCTAACAAAAAACGATTAACTAAGTTTTCTCGGCAATTGCATCAGCCTGCCCATCGATAGGAGTAAGCAAGATCGTTCACACACTCAGCTATGCATAGAATTTTGCATATTTGATGGAAATTATAAAGACGACCAGCTGCACACCTCTGTTGCTGTTGTTGTTGTTATTGTCGCTACAAACTTTGCATTTAACCGGTTCGTTATTTGGCCCTTGCTGGGCACGAGCTCAACTTTAAACAACATTGCCAGTTAAAGCCATTTATGTGAAATGTTTCTCCAACTTTTTGCTCTATTGTTGTTGGCGAATTCCGGTTCGCCATAGGGAGCTCACAAATTGCAAGTAACGGTGGTAAAAATAATAAAAATATGTGATATAATTGTATACACTAGCAGTTTGGTATGAGAAAAATAATTATTTACATTTACATTTTTTATCTTATGAAGTGTGTGAAACGAAACAACAATTGACATAAATGAATCGATTGGTAAACATGGTACAATTATTATTTTTAAATTTGTTTAAAATCTGATTAATCCATCCGTTTATCAGGTTTTAATTATATTTGTATATTTGTGCATTATATTGGTCTTTAAGTTATGGTGAATCAAGGAAAGCAGAGCATTCTATATTGATTGATGATTGATTATTTGACATCAGCCTGGTGTATACTTGTAGAATGAATTCAAAGTTTTAGACGAGCTAGCATTGAATTCTATTAGTGTTTCATTTAGTATTTGTAGGTACTTTTGCGCAGTTTCGTCAATCAGCTCAAAATCAATCTCGAATATAAAATCTAAGCGAAAATCGATTACATCTCCCAAGCAAATGTCGTTTTCAAGATGAATAATTAATTGAAGCTGCAACTCACCTTAGAGCTCTGGTCACTATTTACCTGCATATCATATTAAAGGTAGTTTCAAATTTGAATTAAGAAAACTTGGAATAAAAAGGCATAAATTAATGCGTAACTAGTCTATTTAATGAACAAATAAGACCCATTAACTTAGATATAGACAATTAAGTTTAATCCTTGCCTAAGCTTAAAGTTTAGCTTTGTTTTTAGGGAATCAACTAGTTATTTTTAGCTATGGTTGATGCCTTCATCTAAACTTCTTCTAAACAACACTATTTAGAATTTATAAATCCAATAATCCAGCTTAAATAATTCCTGCTCATTGAAGTTAATTGCTAAACCAACAAACAGTTTAAATTGTAGAGGCCTTTTGCCAACAATAATTTTAAAACATTAGTGACTCCTCAACGTTATTTTTCTGCATTGTTTCAATTCGATGTTGTCACTTACACAGATAATGCATATGGTGTTGAGAGATCTGATTAGATAGGTGGCTAATAAAACAATTTGCGAATGCCGAGCCCATAGATGTCATAAATGGCCATTGTATATTAAATGGGCACGATCTTAGCAGTTGCGAAATTCCCACCAGATCGAGATAAAAAATGTCATTTATTAATTGTTTATCGCAAACAATGACTGTAGGCTTCGAAGTACGTTGACCCCCAATCAGTTGACTGCATGGGTCTGGAAGAATGTTATATCCATATATCTGTAATTGGCGCAGATTAGAAACTTGCGAATGAAATCGCGATACTTGTATAAAAGCCGCTTGCAGCGCATTCCGCATTTGAATTGCAGTGGAGAAATGTTCAAGTACGCAATAATTTTGACAGCAGTGAGCTGCATTTTAAGTGCAACCGTGCCTGAGGGCGTAATGCCCCAACTAGATGGCCGCATCGTAGGTGGCAAGGACACCACTATTAGTGCATATCCTTGGCAGATTTCGCTGCAACGTAATAACTACCACAGTTGTGGCGGATCGGTCATATCTTCTCTATATGTCGTCACCGCTGCTCATTGCCTGCAAGATGTGCCTGTTGCATGGCTGAAGGTACGCGCTGGTTCCACCAATTCGGATAGCGGTGGTTCGCTAATTCCCGTTAAGAGCTACAAAATTCACGAGAAATATAGCCGAACAACATTGGCCAACGATATTGGCATTATTCGCTTGGAGACAGCCCTAACACTTGGCCCAACAATCAAGGCAATTCAGTTGGCTTCGGAGGCACCAGAACATAATGCTCCAGCTGTCGTCTCGGGCTGGGGCACATTGGCGTATACGAATGGCACCACTCCCAAAATCCTGCAGTGTGTGGACGTAAAAATGATCAGCACTGCGACATGTGCACAATCTGATTACGGCAGCTTGATTTTGCCGAGCATGATCTGTGCAAGCGATGTCGGTAAGGATGCCTGCCTCGGCGACTCCGGGGGACCTTTGGTATCTGGTGGCAAGCTCGTTGGCATTGTATCGTGGGGTTATGGCTGCGCTGAGCCCAACTATCCAGGTGTTTACACTAATGTTGCGGCCTTGTGGGACTGGGTTAGTTCAGCAACCAATGCAACAAGGATAACAAAACGCTAAGGAAAATACATTTTTAAACGCCATAAATCAAGCAATTCATGTTTTATACCATGGCTAGAACTTTTATTCTTTAATTTGATAATTTAGAATACACATTTTTGGATGTGAATAATCAATTAGAATGAAATTAAAATTCGATGTACTTTCACCACATGTTTACGTCTTCTTAATGAAAATATGCATAGAGAGTGAAAATGAATAATATAGGACTATTAAGAATAACTAACTAAATTGTATAATTATTTTATTCTGTCCATTTACACGAATACATACATACGAGTAGATGAACGACGTTTTAAAAAGTTTACAGAATGGCTGAATCACTGAGTGTCGAAAAGCATCTGCTTATAAAAAGCTCTACCCCAAATGAAATGCTGATGTCTCTTCGTTTTGCAAGTCTTTGACAAAATGTTGAGATCGAAACAAAGCCATAACTATCACGTTAAGACCTATGCGGCAGAACAACCCGCAATTCCATTAACTTAAGCGCAGCACAACATTCGTCAACCACATCTACGCTTCGCATCTACTTTATGCTCATGTTTACACCGAGAGTTGAGATACTAAACAAAGAAGGGTAGCACAGTATGAAAGAATAACATCAGTAGCTTCCGACAGAAAACTGAGAAAAATAACTGAGAAAGATTCTTTTCAGTCCATTTTTTCCACCTCGTCATCAGTTCGCACAACATTTAACATGCGAAGGAATTTCAGAAAACGGAGCAGAAAACAAGCAACATAATGCGCAGCAGGGCGGAAGTACTAAACAAATACAAGACTACACATACGCAAACAACCGACATGTGTGTGCACGCACACATGCAACCACGTTGCCTGCTTGGCGGGAAACCCAAAATGTGAGCTCGCGTTTCGTAAAAAACTAACTTGTCAACAAGAGCGCGCGTCGGAAAAAGAAATGGTACAGAAAAAAATCAAGCTGTGGAAATGCACATATTTGCACATTCTGGGGGACATATTTTTACAACTGCATTTCTATTTAGCGACGAGACGGAAAGCAACAAGAAAGGCTAGAAAGAATGCTAGAGTCAACTCTTAAATACCCTGGACAGAAAACAATTGAAAATAATATTTTAAGAGATACTTTTTTTAGAGATTACATTCAGGCTTTATCTTTCTTCATAATTAACCTATCATGATGAAATGTAATCATTAACTATATGTAAATTACCGATTTTAGTAAGTAAATTCCAAAAAAAAAAAACTGAGTTTATGGAAAATCAGAGTAGAGGTTACATAAAAAATACAAACTCGTCCTTTCTCTGATTTAGGAGAATCTGGATAACAAGTTTGGTTATTCTAGCTCTAAAGCTTTCTGAAATCCTTGCATTCATACGGACGGACGGACAGACGGATGGACAGACGGATGGACGGACGTGGCTATATTGACTCGTCTTCTCATGCTGATCCAGAATATACTTATATACTTCTGTTGGTCACATACATTCGCAGTAAACGAGTATACCCATTTATCCTATACAGGGTATATGTAAAAATGGTACTCATTCCTCCCCCCACACACGCACACACACACACACACACGTCAACACTTGTAAATAAGTAGCGACAGCTAAAAGTATGCAACGTTTTTTCTGCCGCCCTTGGCTCTGGTCTTGTGTCTGGAAAATGTTATTTGCATTAAATTGGCAGTCATGGAATATCGCATTGAGCGCATAAGTGCATGAATACAGGTGCTGCGCCTTTTAGTGCATGGCTGTGCTGAGTTTTGTGCTCAACTCTGACCTTTGCCGGTACCGACGGCTTGACATTTCGAAGAACACGTAGAAGAATGCGTAGCACGCAAAACTATGAAACACCAGCAGTCACTTCTATTCACTTTATTTGGTTTTATTCAAGCACATCCGTCGCGGCTGGTGCACTTAACACATTTCAATTAATGCAGCCATACAGCTTGCCACTTTCATTTCCATACTCTCTCCCGAAGTTCTCACTCTTGCTGTGGCCGCCATTGTCTTTGCTTAGCATTTTGATTGGCAAAGCACATGTGGTTTATTTACTTACCCTGTGCACTTTTCATTGTACATTGTTGCTCGCTTATGAACCTGCAAATTAGATGTGGTCCCTCCTTTCGACTCCCTCATGTGCATAAAGGCAGCTACTTTGTTGCAGCTGTTCCTGCTGCGTTTAATATGCATTATGCAGGTTGATGCATGAACATGACGAAGGCCATGTGCAGTGCACTTTTATTCATATGTTTGTATGTGTGTTTGTGTCTGTAGGTGTTTCTATGTCGTAAAAGCGGGCTCTGACTTCATCTTTGGCCAGCATCCATCAGTATTTGACTGCCTTCATTTATTGCAGGCGTCCTGCTTACAGCTTTCGGTCAAATTGTTGCCCATTCTTGTTTAAAGTGCGCCAGTCAAGCGGATAATAAGCACACATGATACAGATATGTACTGGAAAAAGTCAATTGAAAGTGATTATCAGAAAAGGGAGCACAAATTCAGCTTTTCAGTTAAAAATCGACAATATTGCTGTTGTTTCTTGTCATATTTCAAGGCAAAGTCTTGTGGAATGTTAATATGTGACAATTAATAACATATGTATTATTCCGAACAAAACTTGGATTCTTCTTTCCTAGCGAATGCTAGGTAATTTTCGCAATAAATCAATTTGATTGATATGTCAGCTCGCAAAATAATTGCAATTCGCAATACTAACAGAGCCAGCCCGTTGTAATGTTATGTTAACAGTGGCCGTGGCCTTCGGGCAGCCAGTTCATCATTACTAAGTACTATGTACGTGAAAGGGAAAGTTTGCACCTAACATGAAACTGTTAACTCTTAAATGCAATTATCAGCATAACATTTAGCTCTCTTAAGCTGTTAAGCCACACACTGCTTTGAGAGCGCCACTGTTAGCCGGGGGAAATTTTAACAGTCTCCATTGACTTTAACAGCTGTTGCCAACATTAAAACAACATTTTAAATGTGTTTACTTATAAGTATGGGTATATGGCAAGGCTTGAGTTCCTTATTTTGATTTTCTTGCGGTCGAATTATTGTCATTTTTATTGGCACCGAACTTCCTTTGGAGTAATGAAAACGTTTACATTAAATTTGTGAATGTGTGTGTGTGTGTGTGTGTGGGAAAACTTTGACGCACTCTTGACATAAAAGGCGCGGCAAGTCAAGGGAGGGTCTCGCATAAAAATACTTATTGGTTTTGATGGCATTATAAATTTATGATTGGCAGCAACTCGAAAAACTGCCTGCCAGCGAGATAGCATTGATTTTGCTCGAATGTTTATTGTGTGTGAGCACGTCACGCCTTCAATTGAAATTTAAAGATTTAACAAAGTCTGAACAGTTGAAATGCATACTAATTTGTAGCCGCACTTTGCGCCAACTCACAACTCATTAGACGGCTAAAACATAAGCTAAAATATGGCGTACTTATCATAACAATAAAAGACAGCTAGCAGTCGCTATAATCATGCAAAATATGCCATTACTTGCTAGCTCTATGTGGGCTACACGAGTACTATATATCCATAGAGAACACGGCTTTTTCAAACAGTGGTACAAAGTGGCGCTTTAGCACAAAAATTAGTGGAACAAGAACACTTTCAAACAGGGACAACTAAAAACAACTTCCAACATTAGAACAAATTAGTTCTTCAGACAATTAAAATTTTGAATGAGCAGCGTTGACTCTTTTGAGCAGCAGACGAAGAAGGAATATGATATTTAAAAAAAAAACAAAATAACAAAATACGATTTTCCTAATCTCTGGGAAATTTCAAACGTATATTAGGTAAGTTTATTTACATTACCGCAAACGTTCATGAAATTTATCATGTAATTTTTGCTAACTGGTTCGGCCTAAGGGCCCACAGTGCATCGGTCACCAAATGACGCACATTTATGTGCGTTTAATTTTTTGTGGCCGTGTACAAATGAAATATTTCTGCTTGTGTATAAAAAGTTGTCTACTTTTTCAGCTAAATAAGTTGAGTTGGCGGCAATGGCCGTGCACGGCGTGTGCTGCTTACTGGAAACAACAAGAAAGCATGTGCGCCCCAAAGTGTGCCATAAAAAATGTTGCATGGCCGTTGGCTGTACCGTAACGGTAAGCGTCGACGTCGCCGGCGCCATCACAGTTGGCGGTGCTAGTGTTGGTGCCGAGTTTGCTGCTGTTGTGATTTTAGCGCAGCGCCCCAGGATTTATGTTTTAGCCTCAACGGCTGCCATTTGCAAAAGTCTCTGGTTGGAAAACTTTTGTATGTTGCCATTAAATTTTTGTTGAAGTTTCTCATTTTCATTTTCCCATTGCTGCTTTTTTTCACCTCCTTTTTCATTCTTCGAAGTGCAATTGTTACAAAGTGCAGAGCCCGTGTCGTTGCAACCAACTTTCCAAATTTCTACCCACACACAAAAGCTGATGTTGTGCTGCTGGGCCCTTTGTATTTTTATTTCAGTGGCGAGGTGAGGGCAATCGGTTGGACGGCTTCAAAAGAGCAGCGAACAATTGTTAACATACAAGTATTTTGTTTCATATCGTATGTGAAGCAAATTAAAATCAACTCTGTGTTGCGTTCCAGCCATTAAATGAACTCGTCCGTCGCTACTCTGGCAGTATGCGGTAAATCAACAGTTGCCATTGAGGCATGCCAGAGACTACGACCACAGCCCCGACAGCGACTATGACAACTCTTGCAACCACAATTCATTCGGCTACAATTTGTTCCAAATGGCAACGACAAGCGTTACGCCTTTTGACCCTCGCCTGCTCTCTCACCTTTGCACTTCCTTTGAGTCTGGACTTAATGTTCCGCTTGCAAATCTTGCCTTGCATTGTCGAACAATATGGTTTTGTTGTTGTTACTATTGTGTGTGTGTGTGTGTGTGTGTGTGTGTGTGTGTGTGTGTGTGTTTGAATATGCATGGCTGTCTTTTGTCATTATTGTTGCCGCCCGCATTGTGACAGTCTTTGTTATCCTTCCTCTCATTTGATACCGA